ATTTGTAACTAGCACCAACGCGTGGCGTTTCTGGTGTGGTGCAGAAAATATGGGCGTGTAGGTGCGGCATCTCCCCCCGGAGTATACACGTTATTCGCTAGCACTTGGGCTCCAGACACAAAATCTTCTAGCGTGGGTATATTCGCGACCAGAAAACTGGGAAGGCTTTCTGTGCGCTACATGAGTACCTCGACAACGCGGATACTTTTGTTTGAGTGCACAAATCAGCGATGATTGGGTGCCGAACTTTCTGGAGGGGTGGTGGCGATCGATTGGTGGTTGCGTGTTGCGAAAGATGTCGCCATCGTCGCGAGAACCGCCAAGTCTTCGTGAGTCGTGACTCCTTGATTTTACCGAGAGCCAACCAAGCCAGCAATTTCCCAGGGCGTGCGTTCTTCTCCCTGCTGACGTTCAAGTCAACCAAGAGCCATAATTTACTGATCAAGTTCACCCTCAGACCGATAGTCTCACCGTCAAACTCGCTCATCTTTCGTCCTGAACAGGTTTACGCACTCTTCCCAGCTGAACTGCAGTCTGAAGCATACTTCTCCTGGGATCAGCGACCCTCGTGTTCCTTCTGCTCGTATCCATCTCCTCGCTACCATTCCATAGACGCGATGCCTCGTGCTACCAGCAGATCTTCAGGTAAGCTCTCCCGTCTTGGGATCATCCAGACTCCTGATTTTTACGCGATCACCGGCAGTCCTCACCACGAGATCACCGTGCGACTGGTTTCTCTCTCGCCTGCAGGGTCGAGGGCCTCTGCTCCGGCGAGGCCCGCGCCGAGGCCAGCGCCTGCATCGCACACTCACTCCGCGCCTCCACCCGCACCAGGTAGTCGATCAGACCATTTTGGCTCGCTCTTCGTGCCTGATCCAACCAGATCCGTCGGATTTTCAACGCCTGCGTTCAACCTCCATCTCACGTGTCTTCTTGACACCTTTTACTCTCGGGTCCCCTCCCATCACTTGTGCAGCAGCGCAACCCGCGCCTCCCCCGGCTCAACCAGCAGCAGCCTCTGGAGGGGGAAGCATGCTGGGTGGACTGATGCAGACGGTGGGAGGGCATGGCGTTTGGCACTGGCTCCGCCATCGCCAACAGAGCGGTGGATGCCATCATGGGTCCGCGCACTGTGGTGCATGAGCATGTAAATTCCGCAGCTCCTGCTGCTCCTTCTGCCGCTGCGCCTGCTGCAGCTCCTGCAGTTGCCAGCTCGCCGACGGACTGTGCTCAGCTGCAGCAGGACTTCACCAAGGTAGGCTTCTGTGCAAGGGATCCATGAATGTCACTCCCAGCTACAAGTGGAGACCCGTGTGCTACTTTTGCTGCCTAATGGCTTGATGTGTTCACCTCACCTCCCTCCTGAACATGGTGCTGCTGCGTTCATTTCCCCTTGACTGCCTTTGCAGTGTGTGGAAGCTCATGGGAGTGACATCTCCAAGTGCCAGTTTTACCTAGACATGCTCAATGAGTGCAAGCGGAATGCCCTTCAGGTCAGTTGATTGTGTTCCTAAGGCTTCTTTCCAGGCTAAGCTCTTCCCAGATTAGCCCTTCTCGCCTGAATCTCGGAACACGCTGCTTGGTTGCATTGCATGGAAGCTCAAATATTTCCAGTTCCTGCTTCCTTGTCTCCATTTACCAACATCTCGTTTGTCTGTCTTGCAGGAACTGTGCTTCAGTGAGGGTAATTGACAACAGTTCAATATTATTTGGTGCAGGGCCTCAGATTGCAGGCTTTTTACCCTGATTCAGGGTAAATCAGGGCTTTTTTGGGGGGTGACCCTGATGACACAGGATTTTTTTAAGACAGAGGCCTGAAATTTCAGGGTTTTTTTAAGAGTGAACTCTGATCGATCAGCGTGCGTAGTGTAGTGTGGCCTGTTTTTTCCAGCGTCGTAACGAAGCCCGACCCTGATTCTTCTAATAGCGGATTCCCAGTCCCAACTCCCCCGCCCCGTGATTTCCGTGAATCCCCCCCCACCGTCCCTGTCAATGACGCCGACTCGAGTGTGACCAACCAGATTCCAGCCCCGCTGGAGAATATTCTATCAAACAGTGAAATTGATGAATAGAGAGAGAGAGTACACAAACATATACCTAACAGTTGTACTCTCTAGAAGATGACCCTATACAGTCTATACAAGCATGATAACTAAACATGTTTGACACACCCCCTGGACTGCATAGGGGAATGTTCTAGACAAGCAGCTCAGGGTGGCACTACTAGTCCAGCCTCTGAGACAAGGGTCTAAAAGACCAGTCAGAAGGAGTACAGGCAAGGCAAGAACTAGTACAGGGCGGCACTACTAGTCCAACCACTGTAAGAGGACACAAGTCCAGTCTGAGTGTACACACAGATATATATAGGGCAGTACAAAGTCAAGGCCCGAGTAAGTGAGAGACTACAGGAACCAGACCAAGCTGTACACAGTGCCGCTGATGATCTTTAGGCGCAAGCGCCTTCGTAAAGATATCAGCTGTGTTGGCACCGGAGGCTAAGTGTACTACGCGAGCCTGGCGACGCTGCTGTAGCTCACGCAGGAGGAAGTACCGCAGCTGGATGTGCTTCGCTCTGCCCTCGAGTCGAGGCTCCTGACACAGGAGGATCATGGCCCTGTTGTCAGCGTACAGGACCGGGGCAGAGCTAGGCCGCTCACCTAAGTCAGTGAGCAAGAAGGTCAGCCAGCGGAGCTCCTGTGCCGCCATGGCACCGGCGTAGATCTCAGCCTCACAGCTGGACTGGGCAACAGACGAGGAGCGGGTAGCTCTCCACGAGACAGCACCTGAGCCAAGGCTAAAGCAGTAGCCCTGGGAAGACCTGAGCGTCTCGGCGTCGTCTGCCCAAGAAGCGTCTGTGTGTCCAGTAAGGACCACTGGCCTGCGTCCGCCTAGCACTAACCCCATGCCCGATGTACTTGCAAGATAACGCAAAACCCTCTTAGCGGCAGACCAGTGCTGAGGTCGGTGTCTGCCTGTGGCCACGAAACGAGCCAGGATGCTGAGAGGGTATGCGAGATCTGGGCGAGTGCAAGTCATCAGGTACATGAGGCAACCCACTAGCTCAGCGTAAGGACCACTGGGATCTACCGACTCCTCAGGAACTGGAGCGGAGAGTCTGTGGTCCAGAGGAAGAGGGGTGGGCTGTGCGGAGGAGAACTGAAGGCCGAACCTCTGAAGGACCTGGCGCACCAAGTGTGACTGAGTCAGGGTGATGGTGCGCGCGGCTCTGTCCCTGGAGATCTGCAAGCCAAGGTAACGGCGCAGCTCTCCAAGGTCAGTGCAGGTGTGTCTCTTCAGCAGCTCTGCCTTCACGGAGGCCAGTGCGTCCCTGTCAGCAGTGGCAAAGACCAGGTCGTCTACGTAGACGAGGATGTAGAACGGAGTCGAGCCAGCACGAACGAAGAGCGAGGGGTCTGCAGAGGACGGAAAGAACTGCAGGTCAGCACATGAGACGCGGGAGAGCAGGGTGACCTAAGCGGTGGTGCCAGAGAAGGGAGGGGTGAGTGAGGGACCGACACGAGCAAGCTGCAGCGACCTGGGAGGACGCACCAACCGGGGGGGAAGCGGTGTGTAGGGTAAACAGACCGGACACCGGGTCCCGGGGGAACGTCGCAAGGGGGGAACCTGAGACAGCCTCAGAAAAGACAGCGAACCGCTCGTGCCCGGGGAACGTGGTGGTGACGCCGAGGTCCTGGAGACAGCCGACACCAACCAGGTTCCTGGAGAACGAGGGAACGTGGAGGCCAGTAAGGGAGCCCGAGGGAACTGCCGGACAGGGAAGGGACGTAGAACTGCGCGCGACGACCGGACCCGCAGAGGGGTCAGCGAGAGAGACAACAGCAGGTGCAGCAAGCGGCGTGAGCGTGGAACGGTCGCGGAAGAAGCAGGCAGAAGCACCAGAGTCGAGAGTGAAGGACAGCGACGCAGTGGCGGGGGCCGGGGACGGAGCCGGTGCAGCGACTAGACTAGGCAACCTAGGCAGTCCTACGCCTGTCGCAGCAGGGGAAGCTAAGCTACACAAGGGTGAAACACCTAAACTAGAGTACACAGGGTAGTAAGATCCATCAACACTAGAAGCGTCAGCATACAAAGCATGCAAAGCAGCACCTATCTGATCCATGTCTAACTCAAAGATCGGCACGCCCTGGCGGAGCAGGCTGTGCCAGTCAGGGAGGTCCGGGGCCGGGCCAAAGCGACGACGAAAAAGATCGTCGAGGCGGCGGAAACAGCGGGCGGTCGGGTGCGGGCGGCGGCACAGAGTGCCGCGGAGAGGCCCGGTCTGAAGCTGGTACTGGCAGGTCACAGCACTGGAGCCGCTGGTAGACGCCAAGCTGCGCGGGCCGCCACCACGGCCACCGCCTCCGGAGGTGCCGGGCCAACCAGGCGGGAGACGAGCCCACGGCTGCGGCGGGTGCTGCTGGGACGGCGGCTGCGGCTGGGGCTGGTCCTGCTGCTGCTGGGACTGCTGCTCCTGCCCACCGGTGGTAGTCCCCTCAGGCAGACTACCGTCACCACCACCACGACCACTACCACCTGCGTCACCACCCCTACCTCCCTGGCGGCCACGGCCACCGCGACGCGAGCGCTGCTGCGGGTGGACAGCAGCAGCCGTCTCGGTAAGAGGGGTCGCCGTGGCGACCGCAGCCGAAACGTCAGTGAACGTGCACGGGGATGGGGCACAGCCGTGAAAGATAGAGACTGGCGGCGCACCGCTCGACTGAGCGATAGTGCGCTGGCGAGTCTCGATCTCAGTGAGGGTGTCGACAAAGGCGGTCAGGGTGAGGTCACCCGGGTGCTGGCTAAGAAAGTGGTCGCGAGCACTAGCGAGGCGGTCTGGCAGGCGCATAGCGATAAAATAGAGCGTCATGCAGAAAGGAGGGGGGAGCGCAGTGAGCTGGGCAGCAGTGCTGGCAGTGCGATAGCGAGTCTCTAGGGCACGCAAATGAGTGGCAAAATCTGCGACAGTAGGGAAGGCAGCCAGGTCTGGGAACAGCATCGGAAAGAGCAAGCGGCCAGCAGAAGCGGAGGCAGGGGTGGAATAGCGAGCAATAACGGCGTCTAAATAAGCTTTGGCCGTTTCAACAGTAGCAAAACGCGAGCGCTCAGACACAGGGAGGGCGTGACTAATAGCAACCTGAGCTACTGCATCGCGTGAGTCCCAGATCGCACAGGCCAGCGCAGCAGTAGAGAAAGCCTCACGGTCATCAGAGGAGGGGTCAGCAGGGAGGGGAGTAGGTGCAGGGGGACGGGGGAGCAAGCCATCAGCATGGACAACCAGAGAGTGGCCATCCTGGCGCTGACCTGTAAGCTGGCGGCGAAGATCGGAGAGCCAGGCGGCGAAGTCAACCGCGTGGCCCTCAGCGTCCAGGCGGAGCACAAAGTCAGCCATCGTGCAGGGTCAGCGGCACAGCTCCTCAGCGACACAGCGGCACAGCAGCACAGCTCCTCAGCGGCACAGGAGCACAGCGGCGCGGGGACACGGCGGCAGCACTCTCCAGTAGGGCAGCAGCTAGGCGTCCCAGCGCAGGCAAGCAGAAGACACAGGGCCCGAGAGGACACGGCAGGCCGAGCAGGGGAGGCGGGCAGGTGCTCTGGGGCCGGGCTGGTGCTGGGAGGGGCCAGGCTGGTGCTGCTGGGCCGGTCGGGCACGAGGAGGGGCCGGGCAGCGCTGAGGAGAGGCCGGGCGGCGCTAGGAAGGGGCCGGGCGGCACTAGGAGGAGGCCGGGCGGCACTAGGAGGAGGCCGAGCGGCACTAGGAGGAGGCCAGCGGGCGCGACAGGGGCCAGCGGGCGCGACGGGGCCTAAGGGGCGCGACGGGGCCCAGCGGGCACGACGGGGCCCAGGGGGGCGCGACGGGGCCGAGGAGGCGCGACGGGGACCAGCGGGCACGACGGGGCCCAGGGGGGCCGCGACGGGGCCTAACGGGCGCGACGGGGCCCAGGGGGGGCGCGACGGGGCCTAGCAGGCGCGACGGGGCCTAGGAAGCGCGAAGGGGCCCAGCGGGCGCGACGGGGCCTAGGAGGGGCGCGACGGGGCCGAACGGGCGCGACGGGGCCCAGAGGGGGGGGACGCGACGGGGCTTAGGAGGCGCGACGATGCCTAGGAGGCACGACGGGGCTCAGCGAGCTCGACGGGGCCCATGGGGGGCGCGACGGGGCCTAGGAGGCGCAACGGGGCCCAGCGGGGGCGCGTTAGGGCCTAGGGGTCGCGACGGGACCCAGCGGGCGCGACGGGGCCTAGGGGGAGCGCGACGGGGCCTAGGAGGCGCGACGGGGCCCAGCGGGCACGACGGGGCCCAGGGGGGGCGCGACGGGGCCTAACGAGCGCGACGGGGCCCAGGGGGGCGCGACGGGGCCTAGGGGGCGCGACGGGGCCTAGGAGGCGCGACGGGCGGAAGCGGTAGGCGGGGGGATCCTAACCTAAGCGTGATACCATGTTAACGTAGATACGAATGATTACTAGAGGTGGAAACCTAGAACAAATACTAGTTGGTTGTACTCACTAGAAGCATACCTCAGTCTAGCCTATAACTTCTACATAGATAATATGTATAAGTTGACATGACCAACCAGATTCCAGCCCCGCTGGAGAATATTCTATCAAACAGTGAAATTGATGAATAGAGAGAGAGAGTACACAAACATATACCTAACAGTTGTACTCTCTAGAAGATGACCCTATACAGTCTATACAAGCATGATAACTTAACATGTTTGACACACCCCCTGGACTGCATAGGGGAATGTTCTAGACAAGCAGCTCAGGGTGGCACTACTAGTCCAGCCTCTGAGACAAGGGTCTAAAAGACCAGTCAGAAGGAGTACAGGCAAGGCAAGAACTAGTACAGGGCGGCACTACTAGTCCAACCACTGTAAGAGGACACAAGTCCAGTCTGAGTGTACACACAGATATATATAGGGCAGTACAAAGTCAAGGCCCGAGTAAGTGAGAGACTACAGGAACCAGACCAAGCTGTACACAGTGCCGCTGATGATCTTTAGGCGCAAGCGCCTTCGTAAAGATATCAGCTGTGTTGGCACCGGAGGCTAAGTGTACTACGCGAGCCTGGCGACGCTGCTGTAGCTCACGCAGGAGGAAGT